TTAATTTGACCAAGAGAGAGAAAAAGAGAGGGAAAGTGAGAAAGCAAGCCGGCAGGTCCAGGACTCGAACTGTGGTTGGCTATGTGGGAGTCCAGAGACCATAACCAGGCCACCTGCTGGCCCCGAAGATCAACTTCATGTTAAGTTCAAAAGCATTGAATTCAAAATATATCAGTTCTTTAAAACTGTGTCTCAGTATTCACCATTTTTTATTTCAGGTTTTTGCCATAGGGTGTATATATTCACAGGTGAGAGACAGAGAAAGAGGGAAAATAAGAAATCACTCTTCAAGGGGTATGGCCAAGCCACAATCCCTTCTCCTCCATTCTGCTCTTGGGATTTTAGGCACACACACAGCCATCTCCAGCATGATTTTCAAGCCATTGGGTCCAGGGCTCAAACTGTGGCCACCTGTGTGGGAATCCAGCACCTTAACCACTGTGCCACCTGCTGGTCCCACACTATGTTTTTAATAAAAATTATATAATGGAAATTAAATGGGTTTTGACTGTAATAAATAAGCCACTGTATTACCCATAAAACTAAATAATTACAAATGTATCTTCTTATGAAATGGAGTGCAACAATTTCACAACTCAAAATACATGGGGACCAGCAGTTAGCGTAATGGCTATGTCACTGGACTCCCACGTAGTCAACTGCAGTTCGAGTCCCAGACCCGGTGGCTTAAACTCACGCTGGACGCATGTGCGTGCGTGCCCAAGATCCTGAGAGGAGAATGGAGGAGAAGGGATTGTGGCGTGGCCATCCCCCCTGGGGGGAATCTCTGTCTCTATCTCTCTGTCTCTCTCTGTCTGGCGAGTGCATGTGCCCTATAACAACAACAACAAAAAAAGCATTTTTATTTCAAAAAAATCCCAATAACTACTTCTACTTTATTTGGACTATTAAAAATCACCAAGTCAATGATATAATGTACAATGGCAGCTTTTATTACTGTCAAAGGCACTACGATTATTCCAATTATTCATGGCTTTTATACTGGGTCATCAGAAAAGTTACGACATATTTTTCTATGTTTTCCTATGCAAAAATGTATCATGACTTTTCTGATGACCCAGTGCTATAGGGCACACCCACTCTCCAGAGAGGCATTTTAAAGAGAGAAAGGGAAAGTGAGAAATCACCCCCCAGGGGTACAGCCACATGGGATCAGCCATGTGAGATTCAGCTGCCTTAACCTCTGTGCCACCTCTAGCCCCTGTCACTGCATTTATTCTTAGTGTTTTTGGATACTCACTTTTGAACAAGTGATACACATACACAGCTTGAAGGTAAAAAAAAAACATCCAAAGTAGAGCCTCCCCCTCTTACCTCTACCCTTCAGATACACACTTGCTCTCTACCAACAATCACCACGGGCAGGTTCCTTCATGTCCTCCCCTGATTATATGATTTATAGTCATGTAAATACATTTATGTACATGTATACACACATATGCATCACTCATATATGAGGAAGACCAACAAATGATGAGCTTATCAGTAGCACACAGAGATCCCAAGACTAAGCAGCAGGGGAGCCCAGAGCTGCCCTATGGCTCTGAAAAGACCTCACCATGAGTCATCCTTACAGGGACTCTGGAAGCCCCATGCCCATACCTTGCCGCATGATCCTGTCTCTCTGGTCCAGCAGGCGGTATTTCTCCTCAGAAGTCTCGGCCACTGTGCCTATTAAGGTACTGAGGGATGACACACTTGGCCCAAGGCCCTCGGAACCCTCAGAGCCAGAGTCAAAAGGATCTCCCTCAAACTGGTGCGTCTTTGGAAGGTTTGGCTTCTTCACTGGAGAGCTACAAAAAAAAACCCACAATGAATTACTTATTTAATTTCATTTATTATTTTTTTTAAATTTGCTATAGGGCATGTGCACCAGAGAAAGACAGAGGGAGAGAGAGAAAGTGAGAAAGAGAGTCCCAGGTCTAGGACTAGAACCATGGTGGGCCACGTGAGAGTCTAGCATCTTTTTTTTTTTTTTTTTTAAGAATTTTTTTATTTAGGGGCCAGCAGGGGGCATGGTAGTTAAGGACACTGGACTCCCACATGGCCAACCGCAGGCTAAGTCTGGGACCTGGCAGCTTGCTTTTAATCTGTCTCTGTCTCTCTGTCTCTCACTTGCTTCTAATCAGTCTCTGTCTCTCTGTCTCTCTCTCTCTCTAACTCTGTCCCCCTGTGATCAAATTAAAAGAAATAAAGTTAATTTTTTTTTTTTTTAAGAAAAAACCTGCTGGCCACTACTCACTGATTTGTTGATATTACTTTAAAATATTGGGTTGTTGGGAAAGTCATGATGCATTTTTGCATAGAAAAATATAGAAAACTACATCATGACTTTTCTCATGACCCAATATTTTATACATTTCAAAAATGAAAAGAACTCATTAAAACAGCTGAAATGAGTATTTGTAGATCTCTATCTAAAAGAAATTAAATGAAGTAGTATGTCTATATGTTTTGTTTTGTTTTTCTGATGCCAGAGGGCATGTATGCTCACCAGAGAGAGAAAGAGAGGGGGAGAAAGGATCTCCAATGGGGTACAGTCATACTATAATCCCTTCTTCTCCATTTCTCCATTCTGTTTGGATTTGGGGCACGCAACATTGCACAGTGTCTTCCAAACCACTGGGGCAAGAATTCAAACCACAGTCAGCCATGTAGGATCCAGCTCCCTTAACCACTAGGCCACAGGGCCAGCCCATACTCCCACCTTTTATTCAGGTTGCCAGCTGCAGCCCTCACTGCAGGCTTTCCAAGAGGGGAATGCTGAAAGGGGGTGTCTTCTGTGCCCTGGATGGCTTCACTGTCACCTGGTTTTTTCTCCTTCAGAGAAAAGGGCTTCTTATTGGGACCTGAGGACAGAGGAGTCAGAAGAGAATTCATGCTATCAGAGGTCTCCTGATGCTGGACTTGTTCACAATCATTTTAAGAAAGTGACATTCTTATCATTGTCACAAGGTTTCATTATACCCCAAAGGACAACTATGAGATATAGGGATCCACTCAGAGCCAGCCTCCCCCACTGACACTGGGGAAAGAGCTCACACTCAAAGGTCAAACCTTATACACACAGCATTAGACTATGGGAAAAGTAGTTGAAAACTCACTTATTTTCTTCTTGTGCCAAAAGATAGCCATGTCTTTGTGTAAACCTTTCCCCTTCTTTCTAGCCAGGGCTGCAGATGCCTAGAAAACAATCCACAACCACCATGTATGAAGACATTAGAAGGCCAAAGGAAATGAGACTGAAACTCCAATGTGGTGAACACAATAGACCATTCAGGAATAAAAGGTATAGCTGTTCATGCAGCACAGCAACACTTCCACCTGCCTCGTTTTCTCCAGCATTGTCTGTCTCCAGCTCCGCCGTAGTCCTTATCACTTCACCTGACTTGACAAGTAGGTTTCTATTCTTTTCCTTTTTTTTTTTTTTTTGAGGTTTTTGCTATAGGGCGCATGCGCTCGCCAGACAGACAGAGAGAGAGAGACAGCAGAGAGACAGAAAGTGAGAAATCACCCCCCAGGGGGGATGGCCACACCGCAATCCCTTCTCCATTCTCTTCTAAAGATCTTGGGCACGCACGCACATGTGCCTGGCATGATTTTAAGCCACCAGGTCCAGGACGCAAACCTCGGTCGACTACATGGGAGTCCAGCAACATAGACATTACACTAACTGCTGGTCCCTATTCCTTTCCTTCTTGAAATTAACAACTTTGTTGTGACAGAACCCATAAACTAAGTGCTATCACTTGGTGAGATGATTCTTACATGTGCAAAACTAAGAACAATTGCCACTCACACTTAAATATAAGAGGAAGCTGAAGGATGATACTCATGGGGTACTACTTACCTCAAAAAAAAAAAAACACACAGAGGAAGAAAGCGAAAAATCACCCCCCAGGGGGATGGTCACGCAGTAATCCCTTCTTCTCCAGTCTCCTCTGGAGATCTCGGGCACGCACACATATGCGCCCGGCATGAATTTTAAGCCGCCAGGTCCATAACTCAAACCGCAGTCAAGTATGTGGGAGTCCAGTGACATAGCCTTTACACCATCTGCTGGTCCCACTCAAAAAAATTTCTACAAAAATATATTAGGCTGTTCTTGGGTAAAAGATGGGAGTGATCAGCTTTTATATCAACAAATTATTTATTTTTTTCTTTTTTTGGAGAGGCTTTTGCTATAGGGCACGTGCACTCGCCAGAAAGACAGAGAGAGACAGAGAGACAGAAAGCGAGAAATCACCCCCTGGGGGAATGGCCACACCGCAATCCCTTTTCCTTTATTCTCCTCTCGGGATCTTGGGCATGCACGCACATACGCCCGGGGTGAGTTTAAGCCTCTGGGTCCAGGACTCGAACCACAGTCAACTACATGGGAGTACAGTGACATAGCCATTACACTAACTGCTGGTCCCTATATCAATAAATTATTTACAGTGGCAATTTACATATTATGTAATAAAAATATTACAAGTTCAGCTGAGACAATAAGCACATTGTAATAGGCAAAAAATAACTTAAAAAGTGGAAACAACCTAAGTGCCTATCAACAGATGTATAGATTAACAAAATATGGTTCATGGAGGCCAGCACGTGGTGTGGTGGTTAAGGGCGCTCTCTCCTTCTCTGTTCAAACTGAATAATAAAAATAATAAATAAGTTAAAAACAAACTATGGTCCATCCATACAATGAAATATCCACAAATAAAGAGGAATTAAGTTTTTTTAAATAATTATTTTAAATTTTATTTTAATTTGACCAGAAAGGGAGAGGATAAGAGAGAGAAAGTGGGAAAGCAAGCCGCCAGGTCCAGGACTCAAACTCTCTGTTCAAACTGAATAATAAAAATAATAAATAAGTTAAAAACAAACTATGGTCCATCCATACAATGAAATATCCACAAATAAAGAGGAATTAAGTTTTTTTAAATAATTATTTTAAATTTTATTTTAATTTGACCAGAAAGGGAGAGGATAAGAGAGAGAAAGTGGGAAAGCAAGCCGCCAGGTCCAGGACTCAAACCGCAGTCAGCCATATGGGAGCCCAGTGCCCATAACCACCACACCACCTGTCAACCCCACAGAAAAAAGTTTTGATACATGCTACATCAAAGATGAACCTTGAAAATTTTATGCTAAGTGAAAGCCTGTCACAGAATAACAAAATACCTTATGATTCCGAGTATATAAAATGTCTGCAATAGGCAAATTCATAGAGATAATAGATTAGAGGTTACAGAGGGCTTTGAGGAATGGAGAAGAGTTGAGTTACTGCTTAATAGTTTGGAGTTGTTTGGGACAATGAAAAAGTTCTGCTAATACTGGTGATGGCTGCATATGACCATGACCTTAATTAATCTATTAGATTGTTTGAAAAATAAATAAGCAATAAATAAATTCCTCCCTCTCAGGGATTTATACATAGGGAGTGAACTAATCAGAAATACATGCATAACACTGTTCAAAATAGTCCCAGCCATGGTGGTGAATGCTGCTAAGATTCTGTGCTCCACAGGTTGGGACTACACAGAAGGCCCAGGTTTGATCTTCAGTCCAACCTTAAGGCTGAGCATGGTGGTACATGATCCCAGCAACTTAGGGAGGCTCAGGCAGAAGGACTTCTAACTTGAGTTGGCCTAGACAACAGAGACAGAGAGATCTTTTCTAAAAATATAGCTAGAAAGCCAGCTGGTGGTGTGGTGGTTAAGGCAGCTGTATCCCACACGGCTGACTGTATGGTTTGATAAAACACTCTGGGCATGTATGCCCAAAATCCTGAAAGGAGGGGAACCAGCAGTTAGTATAATGGCTATGTCGCTGGACTCCCACGTAGTCGATGACGGTTCGCGTCCCGGATCCAGTGGCTTAAAACTCAGGCCAGGCGCGTGTGCGTGCGTGCCCAAGATCCCGAGAGGAGAACGGAGAAGGGACTGCGGCGTGACCATCCCCCCTGGGGGGTGATTTCTCGCTTTCTGTCTCTATATCTCTCTCTCTCTGGCGAGCACACGTGCCCTATAGTGAAAACCTCTCCAAAAAAAAAAAATCCTGAAAGGAGAAAAATATGGAGCATGACCATTCCCCATGGGAGGTGCTTTTCTCACTTTTCCACATTTTCTTTATCTCTGTCTCGCTCTGCTAAATGCATGTACATCTCACAAATTTTTTTTTTAAAAAGAGGGCTAAGTATTGTGCCTATAGTCCTAGCTGGGAGGCTGATGCAGGAAGGTCATGACACAATGAGACCTGTGTTTTTTAAATTGCCAGAGGCATATGCATTCACTGGAGACAGATGGAAAGAGAGACAAAAAGTGAGAAAGCACTCCCCATGGAGGATGGTCACACTGAAATCCCTTCTCCAGCTCTCCCACTCTTTGGGATCTGGGGGACATTTTGGACACATACACACGTGCACCTGGCATACTCCCTAAGCCTCTGGGTCATGGACTCAAAGAGCACAGTTGGCCATATGGAATTCAGCTGCCTTAACCATTTAACCATCATGCCACAGCTGGCCTCTATTTTGTTTTTTTAATTTGCCAGAGGACACGTGTACTCACTAGAGAGAGACAGACAGGGACAGGAGAAAACACCTAGTAGGGCATACCCTTCTCCTTTATTTCTCCATCCTGTTAGGATTTGGGGCACACATGCTTATGCACCTGGTGTGTTTTTCAAGCCACAGGGCTGAAATGTATAATCAGCCATGTAGAACCCAGCTCCCTTAACCACAAGGCCACAAGGTCAGCCCAAGACCCTGTCTTAAAAAACTGTCAAAGAACAGGGGATGGCAGATGTTATGGTGGTTAAAAGGGTGCTAGACTCCCACATGGCCCACAGTCTTGGACCTGGTGGCTTGCTTTCTTGCTTTCTCACTTTCCCTCCCTCCCTCCCTCTCGCTCTCACTCTGTCCTTCTCTGGTCAGATTAAAATTAATCAATTAATTAATTCTTTTTAAAAACGTTGTCCAAAAATAGAAGAATGGATGGCCAAGTAAACAGGTAAACAGGATAGAATGCCAGGTGCTATTTAACAGTCCCATTCTAGTTGAGACTGTTGACCGATTTCAGAAAATACTCAGGATTCCTACACAATAAGATTATAAACAGTGTATGCAAGGCTAGCCAGATTGTGTGATGGTTAAGGCAGCTAGATCCCACATGGCCAACTGTATGGTTCAAAACTTAGACCCAAGGGCTTGAAAAATACATGGGTGCATGTGTGAGTTTGCCCAAAATCCCAAGAGGAGAGTGGAGAAGGGGCTGCAGCATGGTTATACCCCATCCCTAGTGGGGAGTGGAGGTGAGGCTTTCTTACTTTTTCACTGTTTCTCTCTTTCCTGAGAGCATATGCACCCTATAGTGAATTTTAAAAGAAAAAAAAAAAAAAGCACGGTATATTTCTGTGTGGGTAAAAACAACATGACTATATATTTGCAAAGACATTAACCAAAATGTTCACAGTTAATATCCCAGAGGGCAGGATTCTGGGTGATTCTGTGCCCCTTCAGAGCTTTCTGAGCTTTCCCCTATATTTACAGGTAATACTGCTATCATTTTTAAAAGTTATGAAAACATGTCTTCTACCTTATAAACTTGTCTAGAACTTAATTTTTCCCATAAAAATGTTCAGGAAAAAATAAAGATACAAAGTACATAACATGAGCAGCCATGTACACATGAACCCTACAAACAACTATCATGTACACATGTAAATTATATAAACCCAGTGATTAACAGCACTTATCTCTAAAATATGGGACTGAGATTTCACTTTTTCTGTATTGTTTAAATGGGCTATGTTGCAGTGGGCTATGTCACTGGACTCCCACATAGTCCACTGTGGTTCACATCCCGGACCCGGTGGCTTAAAACTCATGCCGGGTGCATGTGCGTGCGTGCCCAAGATTCCGAGAGGAGAAGGGATTGCGGCATGGCCATCACCCCTGTGGGGTGATTTCTCACTTTTCTGTCTCTCTGTCTCTCTTTGTCTGGCGAGCGCACGCGCCCTATAGCAAAAACCTCTCCAAAAAAAAAAGTAGCTGTGTGGTTATACTGCCACTGTCAAGCCCTTCAGACAAATCTGACTTCATGGGAACCACTTGCCCAGCATTTCTAAAGCACTGCATTAGAAAGGGACCTTGAGTTTTTCAACATGGCTCCAAGTTATGAAATAAATTTTGCTACCTCAGGCACTCCTAGTTAATAAAATATTTGAGTACTTTCTCTATTTTTAACAAGCAAATAACTGACATATTTTTTAAAAAACGAGTTTTAAAGTGGCAAAGTTCAAATCTAGAATAACAAGTGGCAAGCTAAAAGTACTCACATGATCAAAAAAGTGCACCACAGCAAGCTTTTTGCTGCGCCTAGTAAAGATGCGCTGCACTTTAGCAATTTTGCCAAAGTGCTTTTCCAGAGTGGTTCTGTCGTTGAGATAGTCAGGGATGTTCTTGCACTGGATTGCTGTAACTTCAGCGGGAGAGAAGCCCCCTAGACTGTCTGTGCTCTCGCTCCTCTTACTCTGACGCACAGGAGTTCCTCTTAGACAATCTATGGGTTCAGAGAACAGACACAGAAACCCTTCAGATGTAAGGCTTTCAAACAAGAGGAGGCACCAACTATATAAAAATATAGAAAACTGGAGCTAGCAGATGGCTTAGCGGTTGCATCACTGGATTCCCACATGGCTGACCATCGTTCGAGTTCTAGACCCACTGACTTGAAATTCACACTGGGTGCCTGTGCGTGCATGCCCAAGATCCCAGGATCCCAGGGGAAGAAGGGATTGTGGTGTGGTCATCCCCTCAGGGGCTGATTTCTCAATTTCCCTCTCACTGTCTTGTCTCTCTCTCTCTCCAGCAAATGAGTTTTTTTCACACATCTTTCAGGGATATAAGACCTGTTACCACATCTTATATGTTAGAATCCCTAATGCTTGCAGGGGATTCATCAAGAAAATAAAGCTAACACCCAGAGAAACTTACTGAGAACCTGCCAGCAGAACTGACGGTACATTTTTAGAGCTTACCTTCTTTTTTATCTCTACTTTCAGTTTCTTCCTCTTTACTCACACCTGGAAGCCTAGAAGGTGCCAAGACAGACTGACTTCCTCCTGGGATGGCCATATGATCACTTTCTCCAGACTCAACAAAACCAATTTCCTTTTTAGATTCTTTGTTGCCCAGACGACCTACTTCTTTATTGCTTTTGAAGACATCCTGGATCGTCCGACCAAACAAGGTACCTCCCCTAGGTCGATTCAGACGGACAGGTCTTTTATCCGGAGGATGATCGCCTCTGGACAGTGGGTCCAAATCTTCTGCTGTCTCATGGCCATGTCTCCTTGGAGATCGGTCCTGGTCATCCTTTCTTTTCAGCCCTTTCATGAGGCTGGGAAGTGGTTCTATCTGGGAAACACTTTCTTCACACCCTTGTCTGACACTGGTTTTACTAACTGGAAAGGATTCACCTAAAGACCCAGATGATATGGGGAAGCTACTGAAGCTACTACTAGGACTTCCAAATACTGACTTAGGTCCTCTCTTTTCTTCCTCTACATTTTGGTTTGACAGACCAGAGGCAAAGGCAGATGATGAATTGTTACTATTAACTGGTTTTGAAAAGGTAAAGTTTGAATTGGTAGCTGAACTACTTGTCACTTGAGGAAAAGGAAAAGGGGCCAGGCCCCCAGGTCCACTACTAATAGGGTGGGAAAACGTGAAAAACCCAGAAGTAATTTGGCTCTGAGTTTTCTCTGGCTCAGATTCAGCCCCCATTATCGGTCTGAACACTGCATTTTCTAAAGGTTTAAAGCTGAATTCTGCTTTCCCAAAACCAGAGCTTACTATTTCTCCAGTTTCTGCTCCTAAAGTAGAAGTACTTGGGAAGCTCCCAAGGTTGCTAGGTGATTTAAAGTTAAATCCTGGGTTTCCCGGCACAGATGAACTTGAAGGCCCAGAGGGAGCTACAAAGGTGGGAGTGTGTTCAGGTCCAGAAAAGAGTCCAACACTTGTAGTCTGCGTGAATCCTAATGTTGGCACCGAAGAGGAATAACTTACTCCAGTTGATGTTGGAAAGCTGGATACCTGGGAAAATCCTGAGCTCTTCCCAGTTAATGTATTGTTTTGTCCAAAAAGAGAAGGCTGACCAAATCGAAATGGTGACTTAGCCTGAAATGTTCCTATGGAACTACTAGAAGATGGAAAAGCACTAGGCTGCTGCCCGCTGAAAGGATTTGTTGGGTTCATCTTCTGATCCGATTATGAGAAGGTAATAAATACTCTATGTTAGAAAATTGTCCTGTTCCTTAAGCAGTCTGTTGCATTAAGGAGCTTCTCTTCATCTTCAGAATAAGCTGAAAGATAAAAATTCAGATCATCACAGATATGATCACAGTTATGTTAGGAGACAAAGAAATATTAAGCCATATGTCATACTCTAAAGATAATTATTTAAAAGCAGGCAAAGCTAAGGACTAAGTATCCTCATTTTCTGGGAGCGGATAGGCTCTTCTGTTAAAGGGCATGTAGGGAGTTGGTACAAATAAGTTACTTTGTTGGAGAGGCTTGTTACAGAGGCTTGAAGAGCGATTGCGATTTTTTTTAAAACCGGTTCATTTTACGGAGTTGGTAAATTCACAAAAAGGCTCCCTTGGCGATATGAAAATGAATGCCTGGTCTGCATCTAAAGATCTGAATTAAAGAAGGGGCTTTCTCCTGACCTCCCACAGTCTGCACAGCCAGAGAAGTACAATGTAACACTGAGACGTTAGTGTTTCAGGGTCTCCTCCGCCTCCGCTTCCTCCTCCTAGTCGCTGAAGCAAAAAATGCCTTCCAGACTCAGAAAGTCGCTCTCGGCAGCCCTTCGCGACCCCAAGAGCGACGCAGAGGTCCCAGGGGGACAGCCGAGCAGCCGCCCTGGCTAGGAGCACCAAGCCCCGAGCCCAGGGCCGCTGCGGGCAGGCGAGGAGGCCGCAGTGCCCCAGCCCGCTTCGGGGGCGCCGCTGGGAAGAGCCAGGCCCGGGAGAGTAAGCGAGGCACTCCTGGAGACCCGTAGCCCGTCCGTCACGGCCAGCCGCCGCCGCCCAGGTCCGCCGCCCACCGCTGCCGCCGCCCCCCGCGCCCC